CGGTCTCTACATGGGATCCGAACCCTCGGCGGGAGCGCCACCGCGCTCCCAAGCACCGCACTCTACCGAGTGCGCCACTGGGCCAGCCCGAAAAAGTTTTTTTTTAAATGTGAATTTCTTCCAATATGGCTGTTTAAACTTACAATGACACTAGCAACACAGAAGAGCATATTTCTTCAAATAATAAGATCGTTTAGTTTCCTTATATTTCCTGGTTTTAGAAAGATGACCGGTAAGGGGATCTTAACGCTTGACTTGGTGTTGTCAGCACCACGCTCTCCCGAGTGAGCCACGGGCCGGCCCATAAAATACTTTTTAAAATGTATACAGGTTATGATTCTCAATATAAACATAAGAAGAAAAGATACACCAATACAGACACACAGAAAAAAGATTAGAAGGAAATATACCACAATGTTAATAGGTTATCTATAGGTGGTAGATTTATCAGAGGTTTCATTTTCTTCATGCTTTGTCTTTAAAAAATAAACATACATGTGTTTGGCGTCATTAAGTATATATATGTATATAAATTTACTAAGAAAAGTTCCCTAATTAAAAAAATAAAAACAAAAAACCATCAATGGCCCTAAGTCGGGAGTTCACAGAAAATATTTGCTAAATGAATTAAAAGAAAAAGTTACCGGTAATGGGATCGCAACCCTCGGTGTCGCGCCTGTACCGCGACTGGCAATGGGATCGCAACCCTCAGTGTTGTGCCCGCACCGCGCTCAACCAGTGAGTGGACCAGTCTCTATATGGGATCCGAACACTCGGCGGGAGCACCACCACGCTCCCAAGCACCGCACTCTACCGAGTGCGCCACTGGGCCAGCCCGAAAAAGTTTTTTTTTAAATGTGAATTTCTTCCAATATGGCTGTTTAAACTTACAATGACACTAGCAACACAGAAGAGCATATTTCTTCAAATAATATCGTTTAGTTTCCTTATATTTCCTGGTTTTAGTATACGTGCTGCCGAAGCGAGCACAATATATTTCCTGGTTTTAATAACACAAAATGGTCTATTTGTTCAGTCATTCAATGAAAATCACAGCTAAACTAGAGAGGCTTCTACTCTGTTCTGTGAATGACTGCTCAGCCTTGTCCCTGCCTCTGTCCTCTTTGCTGCTTTGAGCTTATTTTAAACACCAGTGTGAGCTCTTCACAGGATAGGTCAATCCAACTGTCATGCTACCGCAACTATTCCTCCTATAAAACTGCATTCCTTTTTTTTCTTTGTTCTCATTTTATAGAACTGCTACTTTTACATCATTTCACAAAAGAATATGAAGCTTTTTACAAAGTCAAGAAGCTTTCAAGGACAAAGAAATTTGGAGGTCGCTGCAAATTTGGTCATTTCTAGCTAGAATGGCCATAAACAAGGGACAGAAAGTGGGTCACGGCTTTGGGCCAGCAATCCCACTCCTGAGAATTTTTTTCTTTAGAGAATTTAAAAGGAAAAAAAAATAGTAATAATTAATACATTCAACCGAAGATACCATCCCAGCATTTCCAAGAGAAACAAAAGGGCAGTGCTGCTACCTAAGGTTGCTCGGCTGCCCCACTGGACATGGGTGCTGTCACCCACTGTTCTATCCATAGAGCCCTGGCTTGCAGATGCTAATTACATGTGAATCCAGCTCTGTTTAGCTTCAGAAACCTGTAGTAAAAGGCAGCATGAGTCTCAATACCAAGGGAAAGGTGAGGTAATTTTACGTTAGCTCAACGTCTTGATGCAGCAAGAACACAGAAGGGGCCTTGTGACAATCACATAAATGAGCAGACTGCAGCATCTTCAGTCCAGCATGGCTACAGCTGCGGGAATGCCTGGGGAACATCACCATACTGTGGGAGGGGGGTGGCCACTTCAGGCTGTGTGTGACTTTTTCCTCCTTCGTACAACGTTATTCAGTATCGTCGCACTGACACTGAAAGTGACTCCAGCACTTTGGGAAAAAGAGTCCTGCCTTCAGCCCTGAGTCTCACCATACTGTGGGAGGGGGGTGGCCACTTCAGGCTGTGTGTGACTTTTTCCTCCTTCGTACGTTATTCAGTATCGTCGCACTGACACTGAAAGTGACTCCAGCACTTTGGGAAAAAGAGTCCTGCCTTCAGCCCTGAGTCGGCTTCTGGAAGGATCTCTCTCTGGGAGAAGGTGTGGCTGCCCACGCACAGTAGGACCCATCTGACACCTGGTGCAGTTGGGGCTCCATGAGGGTGGTGGAGGAGGGAAGAAAGTCAGGGACAAATGTGACTTCCCCACTGGGCTGTGGGCAATGGAAACTGAAAACCCTGTCAGAGGGGAAAGTGCTTCCTTCCTGGTCACAGGAGTAAGACAAAACATGGATACCATGTATGCTCATGGCCTCTGGGACATCTGGGCTGAGAGAGCACTCATTCTGGGAACTAAGGGGGAGGGAAGAAGGAAACAAACAGCCAGTCCTTTCTATTTCTCCGTTTTGGCCTCTTTCCCTCCCCAGTAAGCCAACCCATTAACAGCTAGTTACCAAGTGTACCTAAGGGATCTACCGACTTTTAGCTGGTCTAGGAAAGTAAATGGGATGGAAAGGCGCCTCCATCACCTGGAATGACCTGGCTGGTCCCTGCATGTCCCTTAAAACAGCACAAACACAGCCTCTCCTCTGCCTCCCTGACTCCCCAGCTGGGCTGGGGACTCTCCTATGTCCCCTTAATCCTAGCACAGGAGTGACTAGTTTTCATGATTTCCTTCCCTCAGGAGCCTAGGGATTCCTCAGAGACAGTGTCCAGCATTTTTCCTTCCTTCTAGTAATACCTTGGGTGGCAGGGGGAGGGGTGTTGAAACAGGAGTTCTTAACCTTGGCTGCAGGAGTGTACAAACCCTCCATAAAGTGTAGGTAAAATTGTGTATGAATAAGTGTGTACTTTTCCTGGCAAAGCCCACAGCTTTCCATCAGATTCTAAAAGGGTCCGTGACCCAAAAATGTCTAAGGATTTCTGTGGTTGACAGAAGATTCCTAACACACATTCACAGAATGAATGGCAGACATATATACACACTGGCCAATGTGAGTTTTCTACTAAAATCTTGATTTGTTTCCAGTTAGCTAAAGAACTTCTATGTAAAAATCTCAGAGAATAGGAGAATTACCAAAGAACATGAAGAACAAACAGAAACTTTCCACACCTTCCTTACCATCACTCTGACCACCAGGAGCCTTGGCCTGGATTTCAGGTTTTGCAGGACTTTTCTCCTCCTCTTGTGCCAGCTCCGGTTGGGCTTTCTTAACCTGGAGTGGACACCCACTACTGATCAGCCAGGCCTTCAGGTGGTCTATGTACTCTCTCCCAAACAAAGTGGAGTCCTCGAAGTTTGGAAATGCAGCAGGAGACGGAGCTATATCTTGGAGGCCGACAGCTTCTAAGATTTTCTCTTGCCGGAAAGAAGAGGCCAAGGAGAATGTCTGTCCCAAAAGGGCCAAAGACTTCCGGCAGAGTGAATTGGTGGTCTCTAGGGCAACGGCCAAGTCCAGTGGGTTACTGAGGGTCTTCATCTTGACACTCAATTCATAGGCATTGCAGGCCATGAGTAAGGGTGTGACACTCTTCAGAAGCCGGTCCTGAAGCCTCATTATGTACTTGTCAAAGGGCTTTATGACTTCGAAAAAGCAATTTTTGGTCTTCACAGCACCTTTGTCTAAAAGCATGTTTAAAAACTCATTATCAACTCTGGGTGTTTTCAAAGCAGAGTGCTTTAGAAATTTGATAGTAAAAAAGCAAAAATCTCTGTGCTCTGGTTTTAAGGAGCATTTGAATGAGGCGAGCATTTTAGCACACGTTTCAGTTTCAAGTTCAAAGAGAGTCTGGAAAAGTTGGGAAAATTTAACATCATCTTTTATGGTGTGGAATCCTGCCCATTTAATTATTTCTATTCCAAATCTTGAAAAAACATCAGACTTATCTATAAGGTCAAAGCTCATCTTTCTTCTAGGGAGCCGAATATTCTTCAGATCGAGCCCCAAAGGGATCTTCTGAGTAGGGAACTGGATGTCTTCTGTCCCTGGGTTTGTCCCCAGGGTCACATCAGGATTTGGGGTGGTTTTCTGGATTTGGTTAGTGCCCTGAGTTTTGGGAGTAATACGATTTATAGAAGGTACTTTTTTCGTGCTTACACTTCTCAGCGTGACAAGTTTCCCCACACCCCCCTTAGCTGTGAGCAGGCCCTGAGTCTCCGCCTTTCCTAGGAGGGTACCTTCCTGGTCAACAATGTTTAGAGATCGGCCTCTGGCCTGGACCTGACTGCTGCCCCTGAGCCCAGAGTCAGCCTCCCCTGGATGGTCCACATCGTAATCCTGACTCTCCTTCTCCAAACACTCTTTCTCAATCAGCCTAGATGAACCAAAGTCCCCTAATACTGCAGAAGGACCAAAACTATATTCCTGTGACCAAGAGGATTCTTGAGAAACTGGGTGTCCAAAGTCTTGCTCCCAAGAGCCACGGAGTGCAAATTTCCAGTCCTGAGAACGGAAATGTCCCAATTTCCGGTGGCCAAAGACCTGGTCCCGAGAGTCAGAGTGGGAAAATTCCAGATCCCGGCCACACTCTTTGCGAAAGTAGTTGTCATCACTGATGGAAGGGTTGCTCGATCTGAAGGAAGGCCCTGAAAATACATCACCTCTCAGGCCTTCTCTCCCAGTGTCTCGAGAGAGAGCTACAGATCCGCTGAGGGAATATCTGCTGTCGCTGTGAATGTCATCATACATATCTGCTCTAGATCTTGGGACTGTTCTTAAGAGATCTGAAATAAATGATCCAAAAAGAAACAAAAAAAGGTACTTTAGACCACAGGTTGCTAACAGATGGCCCACAGACCACCAACCAGCAGAAGTGCTTCATATGCCTGAGTGCTTTTTACAAATTCGTATTTGTTGACATTTAAAATGTGTGCGGTGCCACTTAAACATCTGAATAGACTACTTATAAAAACAAAAGACTGATAAGCAATGGGCCTGCATTTGCCCTGATGATAGTCCACCCAGGAAGGGCGGCAGCCCTCCCCCACCCCCACCCCCCGCCAAATGGCCACCAGCGCCCCTCACTCAGCAAGTCCCCAGCACTGGCTCTACAGGCATCTGGGTGTACAACTCCTCTTTTAGACTAAAGAAGGGGTGCTTAGTCCCTAAACCACCTGGACTTCTCTACTGTAACTGGACACTTTTGTGTTTCTACTTCTATCTCACAGCAGACAGGTTTTACAGAGGCTGCCTGCCCTCATATCTCCTAGGAGGAACTCCCGGCCCACAGTGCTAATGTGAGGCATGAGTCATAGCTCACACCGCACCATAGCTGACAGGCCCCAGCTGAGCACCTGACCCAAAGCTGGCTGAATTGAAAGGTCCACCGGGCCAATCAACCCTCTCTCTAGAGCTGAAAAATCAGAGACTGAGGCAGGCAGGAGGGAAGGTAGAAGCTAAATAAGCCACCTCAAGAGAGACCACGATGGAAACTGAATAGTGGACACTTTTACTTTTCTTAGCGTAGAAAAGGGGAAATGGTATGTTTGCATTTGCTTATTTACACATAAGGAAACTGTAAGAAGACAGGGACAGAAGCGAACTATGGGCTTGTGAGAACAGTGGGCCACAGGGAGACTTTTCACGTAATGCCTTTCTAACTTTCTAGCTTTTGAATCAGAATCTATGAACTAGTTAAAAAAAAAAAAAGAAAAGAAAAGAGAAAGAGAGGTGCCAGGAGGTAGTCATGGGCTGAAAGGCCACAGAAAGCCAAAGCCTGCGCAAACCCAAGTTCACTTGCTCAGTAAGTACTTATTGAGCACCCGCTGCTGCGGGCACTGCAACAGGCACCGAAGTCACAGCAGGGAGAGAAGAACTCTCCCGAACTTGTCAGTTGAGGGAGCCAGACGATAAACAAAAACATACTAGGTACAATAAGTGCCAAGAAGAAAAAAACCAAGCAAGTAGGAACGTGAGGAGGAAACGCCATTTTTAGACAGACTCGTCAAGGGGCGCAGCTCTGACAATGGTATTTCTAGCAGTAGTGGCCTGGTATGTGGGGCCAGACCATGCGGTTATGGGGGAACCCTTCCAGGTAGAGGGGGCATGAGGACAAATCCCTGAGAGGGATTGGTAGGGGGCCAACGTGGCCAGAAGGGACAGAGGGAATGAGAGGCAAAGTGAAAGGAAGGTAGCTCCCAAACTCTGCTATTGACAATGGTATTTCTAGCAGTAGTGGCCTGGTATGTGGGGCCAGACCATGCGGTTATGGGGAAACCCTTCCAGGTAGAGGGGGCATGAGGACAAATCCCTGAGAGGGATTGGTAGGGGGCCAACGTGGCCAGAAGGGAACAGAGGGAATGAGAGGCAAAGTGAAAGGAAGGTAGCTCCCAAACTCTGCTACTGGAGTCCCTAGGGGACCCCATCCCCACACATCCTTATTTAATTAATTACAATGGGGCATGATGTGGGTATCAGGATTTCTAAAAGGCCCTCAGACAAATCTAATGTGCAAAGTTAGAAAACCACTATGACAGGAGATGCAAATGGGGGTCCAGGAGTATCAGTTCAAGTCAGGACCTCAGTGGAACTCTGGAGTTTATTGTGGGTGAGACAGAAAGCCCCTTAAGGGTTCTGAGCAGAGGGTTGACCTCACAGATTGCAGAGGACAAGAGTGGACATGGATGTTCCAGCAAAGAATCCTCTGCCATAATCCAGGTATTGATTATTGGTATTTAGGGTGGGAGCATGAGAGGCACAGAATGATGGCTGGATTTTGCACAACAGAATTTTCCAATGCCCTGGTTTATGAAGAAGAGGAAAAGTTCGGAGTAGAGCAGAAACAGAGAAAGGCAAACTGATGGCCCATGCAGCTTTGTGACAAAGAGATGTTCCAGAACCACCCAGTATACTGCTAAATCTCTATGTTCCCTTCTCCCCCCTAATCTTTGTTGAGGCAACAAAGATATGTACTAGTGCTTGAGACTGTAGGTAAAGATAAAACTAAGATTTAAATCTCCATATATAAAAATACATAAGTATTCAGGATTACGTAAATGCATCACTAAAAGAAATGAAAGACAGTTACCCCTGAGGAGTAAGGATGCAGCTAAGAGGACTTTTTATTCCTCTTCTTAATCGTTCCAATTTTTTTCAGCAGTAATATTTTTGTGTACTACTCATGTAATTTTTGAAAACTCAGAATCTGAAAACAACTTCTGAGACAATGTTGAACAATCTATAGACAACCTTGATTTCTCCAGGTCCAGAGAGCATTTATTATCCCTACCCCAAATACTTAGACTTAGCCAACAAGGAGGAATCCTCCTCCACCCCAAGGCTCTTGCACCTTCGAGCAGCGCTGCCCAGAGAAGACAAGCCCAGGACGAAGTAATGAGTGAGTAGTACACAGCATACTTCCCTGGGGCAGGGAAGGCAACCAAATCAACCTCAAGGCCTGCTGAGGCTTCCTAGGGGAAACTTCCTAGGGGAAGGCATGTGTGAGCTGAGTCTTTGTGCCTGAGGGAATTAACCAGGCAGAGCTGGGACAGAAGAGATTCAAATCACAGACAACAGTCTGCAAGGTAGCACTGAAACATGAGGCCCAAGGTAAAAGGCAAGGGACTTTCATGTCATCCTGCAATATTCTGCTGGTATGGTGCGTCAAAACTTTCCAAAGGGAATGTTTTCAGGCAAGGCCTACACTTGGCAGGTCCACAGCCCTCTCCCTCCCACACACTGTGCCCTCCTGTCTTGCACACACAGCTGTTAACTAGCTGTTCTTGCATTTGTCTGAGGCTGTAACTCTCCAAAAGGGAGCCCCAAGAATCTCAGCAGGGCAGTAGCCCAGTGAAGTTACCACTAACAACTCTGTGGGGCAACTATGGGGAGGGCAAATTTGAGGGGAATAAAGGCAGAAGCAGAGAGACCCTGCAGGGGAAGACTGTTGCAATACTCCAGGCGAAATTAAACCTGGGTAGTGGTAGTGGGGACGGAGCCAGGAGATTGATTCAAGAACCCATCTTTTGATGGGGGAAGGTGCCTGGTGAGAAGCTCCAGATAATACCACCTTCTGTATAATGATTTGACTGACAGGTGGGCTCAAAGAAAATATCTCCCCTTAACAAATAAAGATCAGAGGGGCTGCATAGTTTGCCTAACGCATTGAAATCCTCTAGCCAGGACCCCTAGATAGTCCTTTCCCCGCAAAAAAAAAAAAAAAAACCACAGACACACTTTTATTTACCTTGAGCTTTAAACTGAAGAGTTTCCCCTACAGCCTCACCACTGGGATCCAAGTGAAACCGTTTAGCTTTTTCTTGTAATACAGCATCAAAAGTCTCTTGTGCAATTCTCCTTGCTGCCATGTTTCTTCGCCCTGTAGTGACAGAAAAAAACAAAAACAAACAAACAAAAAAACCCACACACACGCTAAGAATAACAGCTCATGCTCACAGAGCCGGCTCTATTTCACCTAATCCTCAAAGTAAGGAGGCAGTGACCCATAATCCCAGTATGGCCCTTCAGAGGCAGGACTGGTTCTTTCAAGGGAGCCTCTGCCCGCAGGAAGCTCACAGGTGTGTTTTGCTGCAGTGAGCCTTCCCTGAGCCCATTCCTCGGAGTTCCTTACAAGATGCTCTGTACAAGCAGTTTGTCTCCCGGGGTTGCTGGAAGCGAGGGCGCACGGCCACTGTTAACGTTGACGGCGGTGAGGAAAGATGCTATCACTCCCCCGTTTCACAGACTGGACAAGGGAGCTCCGAGGACTTCCCTCTGAGAGAAGGCTCTGGACAGGCGCACAGGACTCCCGGACTAGTGACAACATTTAGTGACAGGAACCGCTCTGTGCCAGGTCCCTGCGTCAGCTCCCTTGCTCCTCGCAACCCCCTAGAGAGAACTCCTGTACGAATGACACTATGCACAGGAGGACACGGGAGACTTGGGCTACGTGACCCCCAAGGTCACACAGCTGGACCTGAACCTGCAAACGGCCCGGGTGGGGGACGGAGCCCTGAAGAAGGAGAAGACGACGAAGTAGCAACGTGTACGGCCCAACGGCTGTGTCCCGAACCACCACGACCCCGCTCGGGAGGCCTCAACCCCAAGACGACAGCAGCCCCTGCCCTGCAGTCACCCCCACGGCCACCGCCCCCTTCCCACCCTCTTCCCGGGCGCCTCGTTCTCCCACGGGTGGCTCGGGCTCAAGTAAGGAACTCAACCTTCCTGTGCCTCCGTTTCCCCATCCAGGGGACGGCTGCTCACAGCGGGGCTGCCGAGGGGACCGACCCCTCAAAAGGGGGAAGGGCACGATGCGGCGCTCGCTACCCTGTCTCCGCCCCCTTGCCGCGGGGCCAGCCGGGCGCAGCGGAATGAATGGGGGAGTGAAGCGACGAACCCCCGCGGCGCGACCCGCTCCTCCCGGCCTCCGAGGTCCAAGAACAGGGGGCGCCCGCCCGAGAGGCCGCAGGCCGCCCCCCCAAGGCCGGACGGGCTGGATGGGGCCGCCGCCGCCGCGCCTTAAGGCCGATATCGCAGCGCCATCGCGGAGCCCGGGACGCCGGCGGCCGAGTCTCCCATCCCGGGGCCCACCCACCTACGACGCGAGGACCCAGGCCTCACCCCGAGCCCACCGCGTGCGCAGCTGCCCCCGCCGCCGCCTCAGGATCCTCGGCCACCGCCACCGCGTGAGGCGGGGACATGCAAATAAGCCAACGGTCTCCGCAGCGCCGCGCAGGCGCAGATCTCCGCTGAGCGCTTGTGCGCAGGCTCTTGCCGCCGCCGAGCCCTTGTGCGCAGGTGCAGGCCGCCGCGGCCTAGCCGCCTTGCGCAAGCGCGCTGCCCGCTTCTGCAGGGTGGACGCTCCCAAGGCGAAAAATATGCGTGGTGGGGGTGGCGGCTTCGGTGAGCGGCCCAGAAAAGGCGGCAGAGACACCGCCGACGCGCACCAGGTGGCCCCCTCGACGTTACCTGTGCTCGCGGTCACCTTGGTTATCCCGGGAACCAGCAGCTCGGCTGAGTGAGGCCGAGCCAGGGCGACGCCACTGTATATAGGGATCTGAACCCATGGCCTTGGTGTTATCAACACCACACTCTCCCAAGTGAGCCAGGGGCCGGCCCTCTTGGCACCGTTTTCTTGATGAGCAGAATCTGGCTTAGAAGGGGAAACTGGCTGCCTACCGGGGGCCTGGCTGACTCTTCTTTTTACCCCTAGCACACCGTGGACGTGTCCTGAGAGTTGGTAATCCAGTGTACCCCCTCTCCTGGCCTGGGATGTTCCCCAGGTGGTTCCCAAGTGACCATACCTGGGCACCATCTTCCCCACGTGTTCCAGATCTGTACTTTTATGCCCCCACCCAGCCCTCTGCCAGACCTAGGAGACCCTGGAGGATTCTGCTCAGAGGTGGGCACAGAGCTGGACCTCCCCAACTCAGTGAGCTCAGGATTGGGCAGACCGAGGTTAATCGGGTGGGGGACCTGAGGCCAGAGAGCACCGGCTCTGTCTGAGTGACCAGGGAAGGTGGCGGCCTGGAAGGATTGGCAGAAGCTCTGCAGAGGACCCAGGTGGAGGCAGTGTTATTGAGGCTGGATAGTGCGATGTGGTCCTGGCCAGGCCCCTTACTACCCATGTGACCTCCAGCAGGTCGTCCCCTCTCTGAGCTTTAGATTCTTCATCTGTAAAGTAGGCATAATGACGTTCTTCTGTAGGACTGTACCTCTGTGAAAAGGTGGCTACTAGCTGTTGTCCCACATGGCCGGGGTGGTGGCAGCAAATCTGGTGGCAGAGGTGGGAACAGAGGCCCTCCCGTAGCACCTAGCCCAGAACTTTCTGCCCCTAAGAGCTGGCTAGGATCCCGTTCCCAACCACCGCCACTCCAGGCTCCCCACTGAGAAGATCTCTCTAAACAGAAAATCCTACTCTTTTCCTTCTCCTTTGACCTTGGAAATCCTTAGCAACCCTTAAACAAGTTTAGAGTTCTGGGGCAGAAAGGAGAAGAGGGAACTATCTGCAGGGGAGTGAGGTGGAAGGGGTGATGGCCTTATAACCCCTGCCCCTCCCCATAAACGCTGGATTGCCTCTTCAGCAACAAAGGAAAGAAACAACTAGCTAATGTTTATTGAGCTGCTACTCTGCACCAAATCAAATCTTGTTGTAAGTGCTAGAATTTTTACTACTGCCTTGTGAGGTAGATTCATTGTTTCTCCCTCTTTTGCACTTGAGGGAATTACAGAACAGTGAGGTTAAGTGGACGGCCTGGGATTTGAGTCCCACAGGCCTGCGGGGAGCCTGTGCCCCCCGCCCCCCACAGTGTGCAGAGCAGGTGAGCAGCTGCATGAACACAGATGGAATCCTGACATCCTGTGCCACCTCCCAAAGAGAGAAGCATGGGCTGGAGTGGTCTGTTTCGCACACCGCCCAAATTTACACTGGGAATTTTGTCAGATTCTTATACTGGTGTCCTAGTAAGTACCCCGTGCCCCTTTTTTTTTTTTTTTTTTTAATGTCTGACACACTTTGTATGAGACGTGATTCTAGAATAGACCCAGGGCCAGAAAAAAATTTGTTTTAGAGGATGTTACTAGGACAATAGAAAGAGTTGGTCATGGACTATATATTAGAAAATAGTATTGTATCCAAGTTAAATTTCATTTGTTCCGTCGTTGTGTAAGAATGTCCTTTTCCTGGGTGATTCATGCTGATGTCTTTAGGAAGGAAGGGATCCAATCCTATAACATACTTTTTTTCTTTTTTTTTGGCGGCTGGCCAATAGGGGGATCCAAAACTTTGACCTTGGTGTTGTAATACTGCGCTGTAACCAACTGAGCTAACCACCAGCCTGCCTGGAATGTGTTCTTAAGTGGTGTTCCTGTGCATGCACACACTTGCTCTCACACATGCTCTGACACATAGATAAATGTGGCAAAATGTTAACAACTGCTGAAGAGATGTAAAGAGTATGTTGTGTTCCTCGCATCTTTACTGTAAGTTTAAAAAGTGATGTATTTTTTTTTTTTCCCTTTTTGTCTTTTTTTACTGACCGGTAACGGGATCGCAACCCTCAGTGTTGCGCCCGTACCGGGGACCGGCAATGGGATTGCAGCCCTCGGTGTTGCGCCCGCACTGCACTCAGCCAGTGAGCGGGAACCGGTCTCCACATGGGATCCGAACCCTCGGCGGGAGCGCCGCCGCACTCCCAAGCGGCACACTCTCCAGTGCGCCACCAGGCCGGCCCAAAAAGTGATGTATTTTAAATGGACACTTGATATCAATTCCAGAATGGAAACTTGGTATTACTGCAATAAACAATATAGGTATATTAAAACAATTAAAATGAAAAAAGTTGCTAACCTCAGGCTCTAGACCTCAGCCCTGTTCTTCCCTTTGCTATCAAGGGAGGGTGGCAAATGTTAGGTATTAAGGATCTGCTTACATGCAGTGAAGACCTTCTAGTTGAGACCAGCTGTAGGGCTGAACAAGAATTAGAATTAGGAAGGGAATCGCCATTTTTGCTGAGAGTTTTGTCTCATTTAACTCCATGATCTGCCCACAACTCCAGAGGGGAAGTCACTGCCCAAGGTTGATGGGTTATCTAACTGTCCATAAGGTCCCCTGCCTGCACTGGGTTTTATTTGTTTTTTGTTTTTAAACAGAATAGTACTTTTAAAAATTGAGCTGTAATTTACATACCATAATATTCACCCATTTGAACTGTACTATTTAATGATTTCAAGTATCTTCACAAAGTTGTGCAACCATCACCACTGTCTAATTCAAGAACATTTTTTTTTTTTTTTGTCTTTTGTCTTTTTCCATGTCCGGCAACGGATCACAACCCTCAGT